TGGGGTGGAGATGAGGACACCCTCGGGTGGGATTGGGGTGGAGATGCCCCATGGGTTTTCCTTTCCTCCTGGAAAATGGGTGGATGAGTGGAGAACGTCCCAGCAGGGAGATGGCCAAGGTTGGGTGGGGTTTGGATGGACATGAGGGCACCCTGGGGTGGGGTTTGGATGGAGATGAGGGCACCCTCGGGTGGGGTTGGGGTGAAGATGAGGGCACCCTCGGGTGGGGTTTGGGGTAGAGATGAGGGCACCCTCGGGTGGGGTTGGGGTTGGGATGGAGATGAGAGCACCCTCGAGTGGGGTTGGGGTGGAGATGAGGGCACCCTTGGGTGGGGTTTGGATGGAGATGAGGGCACCCTCGGGTGGGGTTGGGGTGGAGATGAGGGCACCCTCGGGTGGGGTTGGGGTGGAGATGGGAGCACCCTTGGGTGGGGTTTGGATGGAGACACCCTGTGGGTTTTACTTTCCTCCTGGAAAATGGGTGGATGGGTGGAGAACGTCCCAGCAGGGAGATGGCCACGGTTGGGTGGGGTTTGGATGGAGATGAGGGCACCCTCGGGTGGGGTTGGGGTGGAGATAAGGGCACCCTGGGGTGGGGTTTGGATGGAGACGCCCCCTGGGTTTTCCTTTCCTCCTGGAAAATGTGTGGACGAGTGGAGAACGTCCCAGCAGGGGGATGGCCAAGGTTGGGTGGGGTTTGGAGGAAGCTGAGATAGAGGGAGGTGTCCCTGTCCATGATGGGGTGGATGAGATGGGATTTAGGGTTTTGCCCAACCCAACCCAGCCTTGGTTTGATTGAACCACAGAAGGAGGAGGAAGTTCTCTCTTGGATCATTTATTGCCACGGAGCTGCTCCAGGAGCCAGGATGGGAGAGCTGGGAATATTCCCCTGGAGAAGGGAAGGGTCCAGGGAGAGCTCAGAGCCCCTTTTGGGGCCTGAAGGGGCTCCAGGAGAGCTGGAGAGGGACTGGGGCCAAGGGATGGAGGGACAGGACACAGGGAATGGGGTCACACTGGAAAAAGGGGGATTTAGGTGGGATATTGGGATTTGGGAATTTCTGACTGGGAGGGGCTGGGATGGAATTGCACCCCTGGATCCCTTTGAGTGCCCAAGGCCAGGCTGGACATTGGGGCTGGGAGCAGCCTGGGACAGTGGGAGGGGTCCCTGCCCATGGGGTGGCACTGGATGGGATTTAAATTCCCAATCCATCCCGGGATTCTGTGATCCCATGGACTCCTAAGGCTCTGGAATTCACCACTTCGAAATTTCAAGGGAACCGGGTGGATTTTAAGGTTCCTTCCATCCCAAACCTTTACATCATTCCACGATTTTGCAATCAAGAAAAGAGCTGGGAGGATTTTCACAGGGGAAGAGCCAAGTTTGGAATTATGGGTGACCATTCCATGCAAATTTTGTCACCTTCCTGCCCAGCTGGAGCCAGCAGTGCTGTCTGTGCACTCAGCATCCAAAAACCACCGAATTCCTGGTATTTCCTGGGGAATCCTTTGGAAAACTGATGGGATTTCCTGGAAATATCCCTTAGTTTCCCATTCCTATCAGCTCCCCACAATCCCCGCAGGAAGTGAGGAATTCTTAAA